ATAATGTATATAATTCAAGGTCATCACTTCATATAACTTTAGAATATTTCTGTACATATTCATGTGTCCTGTCAATAAACAACCTCAATTAAATAACAATTTCATAAGTAATAAAATTCCCCTACTCCCTATAAGAACCAGGTCAGGGTGGGTATTTAGAAACAACTGCTTATAATTTTATTTCAGTTTCAATGAAATATGAATGAAAAGTCCATGAAAGTCAAATATGTACCCTATTGTAAGAAAAGCCACCAAAACAAAACTTGCAAGTTATTTAACTGATTTTTACAATATTATTGAAGAAAATCACCTTACTATTTTGTAACAGATTTTAACAAACATGGTAGAAACTATTTGCATAGGTCTGACAAGAAGACACAGAAATAGAGAAGCAAAATGAGAAGAAACTACAATTTTGTAGGTAAGTAATCAATCTTTTGAGATAACATTTATTTTCCTGTTTGTGTGCTAGATGGTGCTATTTGAAATCTGCATCAACACTATTTGATGAAACTGTGGATCCTGGTGTTTTGATCACAATGAAGAAGGTCCTATGTGTGTTTTAAAAACAACTAAGTTGCAGGGCCTCCCTGGTGGCGCAGCGGGTTAAAGCCCTGAGAAGCTAAAGCCACTTCCGCATGAGTTCGATTCCCGCCTGACCCAGAGGTGACCACATGGCGTGGCAGACCTCTCCTGACTCGCCCGTTGCTCCCGTCAGCAGTGTACTTCATCGATCTGCCTGTTCTGCTCCCAACTCTGTCTCTGGTGAAGCCTCTTGCCGCCCCTGAGCCTCTGGCCTGTACCCCAGTTCTGTATGTACAAATAAAAAAAATAAATAAAAAAGAAAGAAAGAATTCTTTAGGGCCCTCCCTGGTGGCGCAGCGGGTTAAAGCACAGCACTGAGAATCTAAAGCCGCTTCCGCATTAGTTCGATTCCCGCCTGCCCCGGAGGTGACCACATGGCGTGGCAGACCTCTCCTGACCCCCTCCCCCTCTGCTCCCCTCAGCAGTGTACTTCCTCGATCTGCCTGTTCTGCTCCCCACTCTGTCTCTGGTGAAGCCTCTCACCGCCCCTGAGCCTCTGGCCTGTACCCCAGTACTGTATGCACAAATAAATAAATCTTTAAAAAAAAAAAAAAGAATTCTTTTGGTTCACTTTAAGTCACATCTTTCACATTTAGAATTTTCTGGTTTTGTTGAAAATATTTTTCAGAAGTCTGAAAAATACAATCCAACTGATTATCCAAAAATGTATGCATGTGGGAAGACTATTTGCTTATAAGATCCTTCTTTAATAATTTGGATACTTAAATCATCATTTCCAAAGCAAATTTTCCAAAATCAAATAAATTGCAAAACTAGAAATATAATCGAGTCTCCACAAAGAAGTTCCAACCCTCTGCCAAAGCAGACCTCAAATTCGTAATCCCTTGTCCAAAAAAATTGGACCAAGTATTGACGTTTTCCACCAAGCTAGCCACATAACCACAAATGTTTCTCATTTACTCCACTCCTGGGACATACAGCTCAAATAAAAAATTTCCTGAATACCCCAAATTTCAGATGCAATTTGGAATGCAAGTGATTCATAATGTTATGCAGGAAACATTATGATCATCTCTTACCAACTCAATGCTTCTGGAATGCAATCCTCAGGAGGTCATCCCCACCAATCAGAAGGCTGACATTGCTGTCAGCCATGTGACCCAACCATTATGCTCTCTGCCCCAGCTCAGAGGTGATTTTGAACCCTGAGCCGTCTGCTACTCCAGCTACTGTGCAAGCAAAAAAGACATACCTCAAGGGAGCTAGCAAAGACCCATGCTGTGCTGCATGGTGAGATACCTGGTAACATTCAACACAAGAGATTCCAATGAAATTCAAGTATGAAGCTTCATGAGCCTGGAATACGTGAGTCTTAATCTATTCTCACCCTCACGTGTAAGTTAAATAATATTGAATAATTGGAAAAGTCAAGATGCTTAAGCTGAACAATATTGAGTTGTTGGAAAAGTCATGGTGTGTATTTTTTCTATGCAAAAGCATTTCTTGGCCACCCATTTCTTGGACCTCCAAAGGCACAAGAGCCATCTTGTACAATCTTATTTTCTCTCAAGGAAAGACACAGTCGATCAAGTAGAAAGGATAATGCACTTAATGGACACATGAACTGTGTATGTGTTAGTAAGTGTGGCCACTTAGAAAGAGAAGACATGAGCCATCAGAGGGACAGGAACACTGCCTGACAGTGTCCCCTGAACTCCAGGATGCATCACTAGCAAAATGCCCAGAAAAGTGAACTCTTAAACGAAAATTACCCCGGGGAGTCCGAGGCAAAACTCAAAATTACACCACTTGCTAGTTTGGGCAAATGAAGACAGCTGCTACAGATGGAAAAGAAGTAACAGCAACAGGAAGATCTCTCAAACTAAGAGACATCAGGAAAATGTAAAATCATTATTTAAGCATGAGGAGAATCAACCTTCAGTAGATTCTTTTCTGCAAAGCAATGGTTTCGCCTAAAGTAAATTCCATGTGTTCTATAGGCATTATTGACTACAGCAACATTTACAAAGAGACTTTTAAACTGAGTCTGCAAATGAAAACTATGAGATACACTGAGGAATCTGTGAAATGAGGTTGCCTTAGGAAACCAAGAAAAAATATAAAAACACTTGAAAATATTAAAGTGTGCACATTTAAGGAAAGATAAATGTAAACTTGTGGTTGGATCGATACTTATCGTGAAGGATCTGGAAAGTGGTTCAAATACCTGGTTGCCAAAATAGCCTATGTTCCATCCCAACCCGATCCTTTGGTAAGTCATCTCTCTCATTTATCTATACAAAACAAGACAGCAATCACACTGGTTATTCAATACTTATTTGTACTGAAAGAATTTGGTTTGTGAATAACATCAGGAAACCGGATATTTAGATAACTGTGTCTTCTGGTTACTTTTCTGGGCCCTCCCTGGTGGCGCAACGGGTTAAAGCACAGCACTAAGAAGCTAAAGCCACTTCAGCATGAGTTCGATCCCCGCTCCAGAGCTGACCCAGATGGCATGGCAGGCCTCTCCTGACCTGCCCAGGGCTCCCCTTAGCAGTGTACATCATTGATCTGCCTGTTCTGCTCCCCACTCTGTCTCTGGTGAATCCTCTTGCACCTTACAATTCTGGCCTACACCCCAGGTCTAATATTCATAAATAAATAAAAATAAATCTTAAATAATAATAATAATAATTCTGTGCATTTTCCTTCCTGCCACTGTGGGTTTTGTACTCAAATTGAGTGAAATCAGCAAAACCCTCAGCAAATTCTTACACTCTCACAACTTTTGAACACAAGCTTTGAACATAACTGAGATACAGGAGACACTTTCCGAATTGTGCATACACGAAACACTTAAAGAAAAGTGACTTCTCTTATTCTTTCACCTTTTCTTTAGTTGCTACCCAACTGTAACATTGTTCCAACACAGGCTATCTGAGAGATGGTCCAGAAGGGTCCAGATCATTTCTTGAACATTATTTTGGGTGTTTCTGTGATGGTGATTCTGCATACGATGAACATGTAAACAGGTGGGCTTTTATAACATACGGTGTGGATGGGTCAGAATTGAAAGATGACACCACATGGTAACCCTCTATGTGGAGTACAGAGAAACTAAACAGAGCCCCCCCGTGGGGGTGCAACGGGTTAGGACGCAGCACTGCAATCTGGCCGCAGCCACTTCAGTGCAAGTTCGACCCCTGGCCAGGGAGGTGACCCACATGGCACAGCAGACCTCTCCCGTCTCACCCACTGCCCCCTCAGCAGTGCACTTCACCAATCTGCCCGTTCTGCTCCTCACTCTGTCTCTGGTGAATCATCTCACAGCCCCTGCACCTTTGGTCTATATACATAAATAAAAAAATCTTTAATGGAAAAAGAAAGAAACCAAACAAGGGTGCAGAAGAAGATGAACTTTAAAGCTTTAAAGGCAACCCTTAGAAGCATCCAGAGGGATTGGGGGGAGGAGGGAGAAAAACAGGGTGTGGGGGGACACAAAGGACCATGGTGGAGGAGTCTGGGGGGATCAGTGGTGGTAGAGCAATGGTGACCACATCTCAAGAGGGCAATCCTACATTGTCGAAAACATCCAGGATGTAAAACAATATTGGCGGGAAGAAAGGAGGGAGGGATAGAGAGTGAGAATAAGAAAAGGGAAGGGAGAGGAGAGAGGAAGGAACAGAGGGAGGGAGGGATGAACTTCCCCCATTGAGAGATTTCTAAGGCCTGATGGTCTTCCAACTGGAATATTTGCTCTTCTGCTTGAAGGAGGACACTGGGCCTCCCTGGGCCCACAGCAGCCTGCAGGGCCTCAGCCATTAGCTCTTCCTTGTTCCATAGCAGCCTGTGACTTCTGGACTCCGCGTGGGGCATTGGCTTCGCAGATTTTGGCCTTGCCGCTCTTCACAAGCAAACGCGCCAATTCCTTAAAATAAATCTCGGTCTATCTCTGAGACAGGGGGGTTGGAGGGAGAGGTTAAAAATAAAGAGATGGACAGATCCTACTGATTCTGTTTTCTGATGAACACTGACTCATGCACGACCCTCAAGAAGTTCAACGTGTAATGCTGGACGGACACACAAGCAAACTGTGTCCAAGAAGCCTTTCCCAAATAATAACACAGAGTATTATGCTATGAGCTCAATAAGCCATCAAATAAAAAGAACTATCAATAAACACTCACCAAATGAATTAAAAGTACTTGAAAGCAAGATCAGCCAAGGACAATATCAGACCGTGTATTTCATTCCCTCAAGAATTCTCGTAAAGTGAGGGATCTGGTGTCAATTTACAGCGAGGCATGAGATGAGATGTCTCTGCTTTTATGAGTTAGTTATTGTTATTTGAAGCAGGTCATTGGGAAATAAATTTAAAACAGGGAGTACAGTTCTGAATGAGTTTGTTCTCTTCACAATGCCCACGACAAACAAGAAGCAAACAAGCTCACTTGAATGGCAGCCAGGTTCTTCTGCTCCTGAGACGGTGCCTCGTGAACAAAGCGCAGCCAGTTCGAGTGTCGCGGGTTGGTGGCATCCAAAATATAGAGAACTTCTCCCTTACTCCCCCGGACCTAAAACACAAAAAGTGTCAAAGGTGAGACTTGAAGTCAGCATTAGCCGTAGTGAACATATCAAGGGCAGGATAAGACACGTTTTCCCTAGTCCTTCTTGAGGGCAGGTGCTAAGGAGATGCCAGGTTGCTAAGCCCCCTGTCCCTCCCACATGCGTATGAATAGGAATTAGTATTTCACTGGGCAGAAGTCTGCGGGACTCACCAGTGCAATCACCTCTCAGAAGCATCCTGTGCTGATAGCTCTCTTCTAGTTGAAATTATTTTTGTGCGTATATTTTAACGTACGTGTTGCAGCTGTAATTGTTCGCGGCATACCATCATCGCAAGCACCCCCTTGTTTCCACCCCGAGGGTAGTGCTGCCTGGTTTTTCACTGAGGGCGGTGGAACAGGGCTGACTCTTCCACTTCCCTCTCCACCTGCTTACTGCCAACCAACCAGTGGAATCTGACCTCCGCTGCCCCACAATTTCATGCTTTTAACCAGCCGATGAATAAAGCCAGTTTCATTGTGTCTTCTCAAGACTGCTGGTGGCTGACTGAGGACAGGAGCTCCCGGCTTTTTGTCCATGCCATAAGCCCTCTTAATCAGATTTACCAACTTGTACTTGGAGGCAGGGGGTGGAGGGTGGGTGGGTAACTGCCAAAGGAGTACCTGGCATTCTTGATTTCAAATTGCTTCAAACCTAGCACCTGGCATTCTTGATTTCAAATTGCTTCCAACCTAGCTTCTCCAAAACCCTTGCTTATAAGTTACTGGCCACTTCCTCAGTTGAATAAAGTGCCTACCAATTGCATCCTCCAGTTCCCATTTTGAGTTTATATTCATTTCAAGTCCGGGAAAGGAAAAGGAATCGAGTAATTACCACTTCAGGACCATAACGCCATGGAACACAAATATAAAGACTTTAAATTCACCTTTGCAAACTTAGGGTAGAGAAAACCGTGTTTCAGATCTCTACATTTGCACTGTGAAATATAACACACAAATAACCTAATAAGATACCTATGTCCGTGACACAGATGGGCAACCACTCATTCACCTGACAGATCTTTACTGAGTTCCTACCTTGTGCCTGGTGCTACTGAAAGCAGAAAGCACTGGGAATGTTTCAGTGAACAATACAAAGCCTGACATCACAGCACTAAAGAGTAGCAGTGTCACAATACACAACTGCACTTTTTATTCAGCAGCAAGAAAAAGGAGATCTTAACCTTTAAGGCAAGGATGGATATTTATGATAATGAGGGCATTATGCTAACTGACATAATTCTGACCAAAAAAAGACAAATACCATACCATCTCCCCTATGTGTGGTATTTAATAAGACCAAAACAAACTAAAAACAAACAAAATCCCAAACTCAAGATACAGAGAACAGACTGGTGGTGCTAGAGATTGGGATGGCAGGAACAAAATGAGTAGAAGGAGTTAAAAAGTCCAGATTCCTGTTATAAAATTAAATAATCATGAGAATGTAATGTACAGCATGGTGCCTGGGACTATTAATGTTTTATTATAAATCTGAAAATTTCGTTATGGAAAAAAAAATACTGTAACAACATGCAGTGTTGGGTATTAGACTTAATGGAGTGAGAGCTTCACAATATATACAACCATCAAATCGTTGTGTTGTATCCCTGAAATGCATAAAAAGTTCTATGTTGATTATTATCTATTAAAAAAAAAAGAAAAATTTATAAGGATAGAAAAGTACAGAATCACATCAGGTCAAGGTTTGTGCTGAAGCCAAGGAGAAGTAAACGGCAAGGGAATAGGGCTGTGTGGACAAGGTGGTCAGACATTCCCTCTGCCTGGCGTCCTGCCACAAATTCTAAATGAAAGCAGGAAGAGACTATGAAACTATGACAGAACGATTTATACACCTATATTCATAGGAGCACTACCCACAATAGCCACACCATGGAACCCACCTATGTGGGTAAGGCCAGAGACTGGATAAAGACACCGTGAAATACATATCTCAATGGAGTACTACTCAGCTTTGGGACAAAATGCATGGATCTTGACATAATTATGCTGAGAGTGAGATTATGCTAATTCAGAGAGTGAAAGGTGGTCTCACTTACTTATGAATACAAATAACCACTGGTGAAGCACAACAAAAACAACTGTTAGACTCTGTGAAAAATATACTGTTTCCCAAAAGGGGTGGGAGGGGAGGAAGAGGGAAGAAGAGAGGGAAGGTGATAGAGAGTGGCACTGGAGTTTGGGTGACAGGTGAGTAAAGCACATGTACACACAGTTATACATAAGTGTAAACAATCTCAAAGACTGACACTGCAAAATTCTAACACAGATTGTCCAGGAAAGTGTACAGTCCATCTGTTCCCACTGTCTCCTGTGCTGCCAAGTTTCTCAGCATCCTGTTGGACAAGCATTCTCCATAGCCATTTAAAAATCTCTCATGAAATGCCAGGCCCTCGCTGGGAAGGAGGAATTTAACTTTTGAAATTACAATTCCTAAAAGAACATTTTAGGGCTATAAATACCTCATATTTGTAAGCTCATACGTTTAGCTGTGAAGCGATGGAAATTTATACTTCTTGTTACATAACAGACTCACACTAAGAAGATTTACTTAAAATGAAAGCAGTGGGAGGTTTGTACTGCCTTCCAGCTTCCCTCAACTCCAAAACCTCACTGCCCACTAAGTATTGACAGAAAGTCCAGCAATAATGCTGAGACCCATTGTTCTATACTTTTTCTCAAAAAGATACACTGGTTCACATTCTTTAAAGCAGAATAAATAGGTAATTTTACATATTTGGGTATAAAGTCTCCCCTCCAGGTTCCTCTATAGCTACACTAACAAAACTGTAAATTAACAAAAGTTGAAATTAAGTAGAGCAGGAAACAATGCAACTAGATGTTCCTGGGAGAGCTGAAAGTTAAGTTTCATATGGAGCACAAAAGATGCCAAATAGTCAGAGCAATCTAGACCAAAAAAGAGCAGTAGTACCACACGCTCAGATTTCAAACTATACTACAAAGCTATAGTAATCAAAACAGTATGTAACTGGAATAAAAACAGACACAAATGAATGAACTAGAATTGAGAGGCCAGAAAAAAACACTTTTATGGACAGCAAATCTACAACAAAGGAACCAAGAATACAATCAAGAAAGGAAATTCTCTTCAATAAATGGTTTTGGGAAAAGCAGACAGCTACCTGCAAAAGAATGAAACTAGGTCACTATCTCATACCATACACAAAAAAATACCTCTAAATGGAGAAAAATTTGGATTAAGATATGAGCAAAAATATATAAATACATATACAATAAAACATAGGAGCATATTCCTTGACAATGCCAGGAACATCTAGTTGCATTGCTACCTGCTCTACTTAATTTAGATTTTTGTTAATTTATAGTTTTGTTAGTGTAGCTATAGAAGAACCTGGGAGACTTTATACCCAAATATGTGAAATGACCTATTTGGCATCTTTTGTGGCTCCATTTTATGGTTTCACAGATGTGTTTGAGGATTACTGCAACAGGAAGAGAAACAAAAACACATATGAACAAATGGGACTAAATCACATTAAACAGCTTCTACAGAGAGAAAGAGAACCTTATATCACTGAAACAAAAAATACCCTACTGAAAAATATGTACAGACCATACATATGACATGTGTCTGATGTCTAAGATCTACAAAGAACTTGCACAAGTCAACAAAAAGAAAAGAAAACAGACACTTCTCCAAAGAAGACATACAGATGGCCAACAAGCATAGGAAAAAATGTTCGTCAGGTAATGGGAATACCACCTCACACTCATGAAAACTGCCCATATCAACTGGAAACAACTGTTAGCAAGGATGTGAAGAACATGAACTCTTGTATGCTGCTGGTGGGACTGTAGACTGATCCCTTTGAAAAACAGTATGGAGATATCTCAAAATGTTAAAAATACATCTACCATGTGGTCCAGCAATTATACTTCTAGATAACTACCCAAAGAATGCAAAAACACTAATTCCAAAGGATCTATGCGCTGCCATGCTCACTGTAGCAATACTTACAATAGCCAAGTTATGAAAACAACCTAAGTGCCTAAGGACAGATGAGTGGATTGAGAAAACATGCTGGAAATACACAATGGATTACTACTCAACTATAAAAAAAGGGGATGATCTCTTGTCATTTTTAACATGAACGGAGGGGGTAACATGAGGTAAATAAATGAGGAGAAAGATAAATACCAGATGGTTTAACTCATATGTGAAATATAGAGAAACAAAATGAAGAGGCAGACAAAACCAAACCACAAACAAATCCTAGAAATCTGACTGTAGCACTGAGGCTTCTGGGGGAAGGGGAGAGAGAGCAGAACAAGGTGGGGAAAGTGACCCCCACCTTGGACTGAGGACTCAGAGTGCCTTAAAGTTAGGTGAGATGTGGTAACAATACATTCAAAGAGTGCGATCCTATATCTCAAACCTCATACACTGCTGTAAACTACTGTTACCGCCATTTAAAAAAAAAAAAATTAGGCCTTCCCTGGTGGCGCAGCAGGTGAAAGCACAGCACTAAGAAGCTTAAGACACTTCCGCGTAAGTTCGTTAAAAGCTAAAGCCACTTCATCATGAGTTTGATCCCCACCCCAGAGGTGACCCACATGGTGTGGCAGACCTCTCCTGACCCCGCCCACTGCTCCCCCCAGCAGTGTATTTCGTCCATCTGCCTGTTCTGCTCCCTCCTCTGTCTCCGGTGAATCCTCTCACCCTCCGCATCAATGGCCTGCATCCCAGTTCTGTACGAATAAATAAATAAATCTTTAAAAAAAAATTTAAATCAATAACTGTTAAAATCCACACAGTGGAGGCCCTCCCTGGTGATGCAACAGGTAAGAATGCAGCACTGCAAGCTGGCTGCAGCCACATCAGTGCAAATTCGATCCCAGCCCCAGTGGTGACCCACATGGCGCGGCAGACCTCTCCTGACCCGCCCACTGCTCCCCTCAGCAGTGTA